TACTTTGAAGGTGATAACATTGATTTTGACGAATAAAAATGATTCATAAAAATGAAAATTCCCGTTTCTTTTTGAACACACATCGTACATGCATCCTGTCTTAAATCGCAACCCACCCGCCGCCACTGGCGCAGGTTCACGTTCTGACGCGCTCAAAGACATGTCTTGTGCGAGCCGAACACCTCGTACACATGTAACTTCATAAAATGAAATGTCCCCCCACATGTTCATGGGCCAAAGTAATCGTCTTCCACCGCTCTACCTTCACTAGACTCGTATACACAACCACATTCTCATTAAATACTACAAATAATGCGATAATTATTTTCCGTTTAAGTTTTCCAGTCTTTTGTTTTTCATGTTTCGTTAAAAGTTAACTTGAAACTATAAAAAGACGTTTAAAAGGATGCTGAACTCAAACTACATTTCTTCCTATCTGAAAAGGAACCCTTTTCAACCATGGACACTGGCTACGATAACCGGACATGTATTTTTCTTGTCTTTATAAACACAAAATTAAATTGTCTCTTATTTCGATCATAATAGCATACTTATCTTATTACACAAACAAATATTTTACGATTAAATAAGTGATGCATATGATACGTGTTTATTTATTACAAATTTGCTTTAAATGCACAGTTTTAACGCACTCAAAGACATGTCTTGTGCGAGCCGAACACCTCGTACATATGTAACTTCACAATATGATATGTCCCTCCATATGTTCATGGGCAAAAGTAATCGTTAATAAGGCACACATGCCATGACAGAAGTATTATTAGAGGTATTGAGATAAACTGTTACAGTGAATGGCGGCGACATTCCTTCTATGAAACTAGTGTGCCCAGAACTGGTCTTCAAGTAATGTGTGTGACCCCATTGGTAACCTCGAACGCTTCTCGTCCAACGTTTCTCGCAGCACTAGTCTTCAACGACCTCGAGTTAGTCGTTTCTTTGTCCTTAGGAACTTGCCGATGCGCGACATCGCGAACGTGGAGTACCTCTGGATGAAGTCGGTCGGTGTGATCGGAAAGCAAAGAAGCATCGGAATGGAGTACTCGAGGGCGGCGTGGGAGGGCCCCTTCGGCTACACGGGCCTCTTCTTCCGCGAGGAGCCGGGCCCTCGCGTGCTGCAGCTGAGCGACCTGTGGGGGTACTTCCTGCTGCTGGCGCTGGGGCTCTGCCTGGCGGTCGCTGCCTTCGTCGTGGAGCGGCTCCTGCTGGCGACGGCGCGCCGCAGAGGGCGGCGGCTGCCGGTGGTCGAGGAGCAGCAGCTGCCTGCCCGCCGCACGCGCCCTTCGCCGCAGCAGGCCTCGCCGGAAGCTCGCCCGTGGGCGTTGGTAGCCCTGTCGGCGGAATCCCTGCAGCAGCCTCCGCATCCGTTCGGGCAGCAGCTCCCGCCGCCTCAGCGACCGCCCACTGAACCTCCGCGGCGGAAACGGAGGCCCCAACCGCCAGCGCACCGCATCCCGTTCACCTGCTAGGCCACAAGCACACTTTACACGGAGCGTCAGTCACAGATATAACGGGTTACCCAGCAACTATGCCCCCCCCCTCATAACTTCCAGACGGTTCACGATATCGAAATGCAGTTTTCGCTCAACAATGCGGAACTATGGGGAAGTAATAAGCCGTAGATATATTGTTTGAAATATATTTAGCTTTCGAGAAATTTAATCATTTTCACCAATCATTATTTTTTTAATGGAACTATATGTTTTTTTTCTTCTCAGTAAAGCACAGATCATAAAAAGAGGAATACAATGATATTGACGTTAACAGTCGGTTACGGGGAGACTGTTACGTTTAATTTAATATCGCATTTCAAAAGTCTAATGTTATACTCACATTGCTATCAAAATTGTAACATATGATACAAAATTGTGTTTCTCTTTTTATGATCTAACCATTGCTGGTAAGAAAATTGTTGCATTTAAAAAATCAAAGATGATTAAATTTGTCGAAAATGAAAAAAAATTACTAAAATATGTATGTACAGCATACTCCTTGCCCCGTTATTTCACATTGTTCAGCGAAAACTGCCCTTCGATATCGAGAACCGTTTAGAAGTTAGGGAGTGACCTATAGATGGTGGGACCCCTGTATAGCACATGCATTGGCTATACACTTACTATCACCCATTACTTCTGATGCGTTGTGCATACGCGCAAGAGTGTTGTGTTATACTTTCATTTACTTTATTTATTCATTTACCACACTTTACTAGTGATTTGACCTTGTGGAATCGCTTATTTTACACTATTCTGAAGCAATCAGCTTGTTGCAGGCATCATTCAGATTTTTTGTTTGTTTGTTAGTTTGGAGCAAAATAATGACGTATAATTTGGTAATCGGTTCTGTTGTCGAGTGGTTCGTCATAACACCCTTGGTGAAATATCAGAGCTAAACGCACGTGACGTTGTTTTGAAAGGTACCATTCTACCAGAAGGAAAGTTGAACAGCTTAACGTCATATTCCAAGATATCTCCTCGCTCTCACTCTCGCGTCACCTGTTCTCTCCTCATTTCTACACTCAAATAACAATTGTCCACGTTTAGAGAACGGACGCCCCAAAAGTCAGTTGCCATGCGGAATCCACGTGTTTAACGGCAAGTTTTTTCGTCGTTGTTTGTTGTTTTTAGTCGTTTTGAAGTAAGAAGCCTTGTTAGCACGAAATAGTTACAATAGAATATCCCGTGACACTTGTAATTAGCGTATTTTTCTTTACATTTCGAGTTTGTTTATGTAGAACCATGCGCTCATTCATAAAACCTATTTTAGTTATTCTAGTATATTCCTTTGTTAAATAAAATTCCCTGTTCTTTAATGTTTCAGGGAGGCTTAACGGGGACATTATTCTTAATTCTGACTAACGGACCCCGGCGTTCTTCTACTCTTCATCTCCCTCTTTCTCACCCACTCCCTCTTTCTCACTCCGACTCTCTCCGTTTCTCCTTCTCCCCGTTTCTCCCTCTCTCCGTTTCTTCCTCTTTCCTTTTCTCCGTCTCTCTCTCTCTCTCTCTCTCTCTCTCTCTCTCTCTCTCTCTCTCTCTCTCTCCGTTTTTCTGTCCCTGGCTCAGTCTGTCTGACGCTGTCTCAGTGTATCTCTCTGTCTCTTTCTACCTCTCTCTGCCCCTCTCTTACGCATTTAGTTGCAGATTCTGAGCAGATAGGGTAATATCAAGTATCATCGGACCAGCAAAATGTAATAGAATTTTCAAGAAGATTTAATCTCGTAGATAACGGTGTGAGAAACGTTTCTTTGAGGCCTTTGTTCTTTTTTGGTGACTTTTTCGATATTTTAATAGTTTCTTAGCATTAGGAGATGAATCCAACAAATCAGATATAATTAAAATTGGCCCAAGACGTTCTTGAGTTATAATTCGTGTAACTAGCCCGATTTTGTTTTATTTATTTAGATTTATGATAGAAATTCTGGTTTCAAGGATATTAAAACAGACACATTGGTTAAAGTTCTAATAATTTAAAATCGCTTTCAAAAATGGGGTCCACATTTTGTAAATAATATAATATATGTTCGTAACTAGTTTGTACAATGTAAAATCTGTTTTCAAAAGTATATATTTTGTAAACAATTTTTAAATTACCTATGATATTTCTTGTTTATGTTTCATCAAATATAAGAGATATTTTTCTCCAATAAAAATACTGTTAGCGTTGAACTATACGTAATTACATAAAAATCAGCTGTAATTCGTCCATGGATTATATTAAGAATGTATACTACTTTTAAGTAATGATTTTAAAGTCCAAAGAGAATATTGCATCTTTGATTTAGCTCCATATATTATATTTCCACAATATTTGTACAAATGTGTCACCATGTTTTTTTTTCACAATTTTTTTATGCCAGAAATACAAAACAATTTGTATCATCTGCAAATCACTGACGAAGACCATAATTTTCAATCTAACTAAAAATAAGAAAAAAATGATAGATATTGTATATATTTTAAATTGTTACATAATAGACATTGGCCATTATGTTAAAAATATGAGATTTTATATAAAATATATAAATTGATTACAATGAAATGTGACGATGCGTTCCTTCTACTCAAACGCTATATTCAGCTGCTGCGAATTTCATGCTTCACAATAATGAAGAAGTGACCGATTTAAACAATCGAATTGAATATTTGGTTTTAAATTCTATAGACTGATAATTCGATTTCAATATGTTTATACTATTAATATCATTAAAACTTTAAAGTTTGTACATAATAGTATCCACAAATTAAAAATTAACGAAATTTTACAACTTCGCCGCATGTACTAGTTACAAGATGATGATAATAATAATAATAATAATAATAATAATAATAATAATAATAATAATAATAATAACGAATAGTTTAAAAAATTATTTCTGGAGAATTATTTTCATCTTTCAGAGCATTCGATTTTTAAAACACGCTTAGAAAATTTCAAGTGCTGGTAGAAATAAAATAAATTAAATATATATATATATATATATATATATATATATATATATATATAAATTGTAAGCACCCACTGTCTTTGAAAATTAAAGTTTGTATTAATGGCACAGTGACTGATTATCAAGAATAACGAAACTTGAATAAGAAATTCTTCAACAAAATTGCTATTGGTTCATAAATAATGTATTAAAAATTACACTTATAGGTTTTATGTCTATACAATTCAACTACTACCGCACTTTTAGAGCTATCTTCAATGAATTAATTTGAAAAAATATGGCTCACTGTTCTTTAGAAATTACACACTTCACGTGTTCATATATTTGGTAAAATGGGTAATACAGTAATAAAAAATAGTAATATATGATAAAAACACTTTAATAAAACTTGTAATTAATTTTTAAGCAGTTACTATGTTAATACCAGCAATCAAAATTTAGAGAAAAGTTTGTTCTCTTTGAAAGCAATAAAAAACAAATTCTCATATTCTATTACAATATCTTTTCGGATTAACTTCGGCACGGCGGAGGCAGCACACTTCAAGGTGCCAAGCAGCCAGCGCAGGTCAGAATCTTGACTCGGCGTAAACTCGTCACCGCTCGGGGGAAGGGTGAGGTCACCGCCCGTGGGCCCTGAATGCAGGTCATCTTGCAGAACTCTTGCTCTGCTGCGGTTGATGGAGCGTACACACGCAAGTCGATGAACTTGCTGACCTCGACTTCTTAACGGGCAGAGAGGGTCATATCGTTCTTTTTTTCTTCGGCGCTGGTTTACCCCACATATATACGAATCATATCCAGTTTTCCGTGTTAATCCGGGGAAGAATCAAATGTAGATGTAGAATATTTTGCGACATAATTTTCGGAACTAATTGAGAGTCAACTTGTTGGCACATTGAGAAATTGTTTCAAATTTGGCGCCACGTTTCTAATAATGCACTTTTGATGCTCTTTGAAAGTATTTCAAAGCAAAAGATCGTACATTTCAAACTCCCCGCGTAGAAGATATCCTTATTTAATCACTAACAGCCGCGCAAATTTCATCCCAGTTGACCTGACATTTTTGGTACTAAAGTACCTTGTAGATTGTCAACTGCTTCCTGTAAGTTGGGAGCGTCATCGAAAGATCGCATCAGCTCCTGGGCAGCTCCACGTGCGAAAACATGTGTGGACATTGTCAAAATTCTTAGAATCCAGCTATTTCCATTTTAGACTCCACGACCTCGCATTGTAATCAGAGGCGGAGTGCAGAAAGCTCAATAAAAAACGTGTTGAACGCATTCAAGATTCGATTGTGGGTGTGCCAGGCAACCTTCTGCAGCCTAACGTTCAGTAAAAACGACGAAATTCGTAACGAAACATTTGATTTTGTCCAGAGGTAACCAAGACAATCCCTTCAATACTCGCTGATTCTTTCTCCAAGTAACAATCTTTGTCAATTGTGTGCCATTTCTTTTCCAGAACACACAATATTTCGCAGCCTCAATACATCTTATTACGGAATAACACTGATGAACAGCCGGTGATCTTTTACGTGCAATTTTGTGAATATTAGCAAAAAAGCGTACTTAATTCTGTAAAAACTGTACAAAATTCAAACTATTTGTGTCATCCATACCTGCAATTTTTTTTTTTGGTGATTGCAATTTTGAAATTGCAAAATAATAATTTTATATCCCGTATAAAGGTAATATACAATGTCACTAGGAGTTGAGAATTTTTGAACAGTAGTATTACATTATCAGCTACTATGATTCATTGATATGTACAATGCCAGAGATTGTAAGAACATATTTGAACAAAGCTATGCATCGCATTTAGAAATTTTCTACACATGAAACAGTTTACAGCTTATAAAACAGTTTACAGCGTTGGCGACACCCCCATTCAACTAGTTTAAACTGCGATTGTTCGATTTCACCGATTACACGTCGTTGAAATAACTTTTGCTCACGCGCGAAGATTAAGATGGAATGCGGAAACCGCAGCGGTCTTCGTTTGGAAGAACATCAAGAGTGAGTTCTACAAACTATAGTAGTGAACTCTTCGTTTCTTCTTCTCCCTCCTCCCGCGAAAAGCCACTCCTTTTGATAACTCTAATCATTTTTTATTCTCATTTGCTCTTAGTAGTATCACTGAGAAAATATTAATAAAGACTGGTGTGGAATCTTGCCAAAATGTGGCGTAGCTGATGTCGTAGGCTTCCGCGGTCAGAGTCATGATCTGGGCTGTCGGGGTGACGCCGCGTCGTTGGCTAAGGTCGGTCGAAACGTCGGCAAACGGCGTCACCCGGACAGCCCAGATCATGTGGCGAAGCTATAGTCACCCCACACTGCCCTGAAACATTTCATCAAATACTCGTGAATGGAAATATATACACACAATTTTGGAATTTATTTACAAAAATAATTTTAAAATGTGAATTTCAAAATAAAAACTAATCTGTAAATTATCTAGAGGAGCTACGGAGAACATGATGTTTCTCTTGAGTCAGCAGATACTTACACGAGAATTAAAAAGTTTCTGATATTCTTTCTGCATGAAACACACAAAAAGGTCTGATCAGTTAACGTTTCCACAAAATATCATCCCTTTTCAAAGTTCTTGTGACACTTGAAACTTTTCAAAAATATACAACAAATTTAGCCTATGTCTTAACATCATAATTTATTTTTTAGGCAACCCATAGTAAACACGGTTACATATAGAACAGACAAAGCGCAATATAAGTTGGACTTTTATTTATTTATTTATTTATTTATTTATTTATTTATTTATTTATTTATTTATTTATTTATTTAAATACATTATGTTCTAAGACATTCGGTTACGTGGTGCCAGTGGCGCCGGAACGGCGGAGGTGGAGGCGGAGGCGGAGCGGAGCGAGGTCTGGAAGCGGAGAAGCGCTGTGGTGCGGAGTGGGCGCGATGCCTATCGCAAGTGCCGACCGGCGCATATTTCCCCGCTCAATGATTTGCCCGCGGCCTCGCCATGATGGCCGACAAATGATCGCCGGCGCTAAATCACGCTCCGCTTGTTGTGGCTGCGACCTGTTTTTGGCCTCTCCCCTTCCCTCGCCCGTCGCACGCGTGCTCCTCGCGCGGGGAAATTTGTGCGAGGGTAATAATGTACGTTCTTCGTAGATTGAAATAAAAATTGTATTGGATGTTCTTTGAAGAGTGTCGGAGGAGTGTGAGCAATTTAGCATGTTGAATATAAGATAATCTGAGAGGCTCAAATATAAATATAACTTTAGAACGTTTTCAATAATACGGGATTAGATTTGAAAAGTATTTTGTTAAAAGCATGTGCTTTCAGAATGATTTTCTTTGAATTTTGAAATATTTAATGGTTCAATTGTGTGAATTTAGATAATAGCAGTATAACTCTATCGACATTAATTCAAGGTAGTCTTAAGCAATAATTAGCAATATTAAACTAACCGATGTTTAATGTTTTAGTTTGCTTTATAATATCTACACAAGCGTTAGTGTCGCCTTAGTGAAGATATTTCATCCTTACCTGCCTCAAGAAAACGAAGGTTTTACGTTGCTATCCATGGTAGACACCATGGATAATCACATCACCAGAGCCTTAGTTGTTCGACATCTATTTTAGAGTTTTCAATTTTACGCCGCGTTTATTTCCAATCTCCACTCTACCTGCTGCTCTCGAACAAAATCGAACTCCATTCTTGCCGAGTATTCTTTAATCGAATTCCGAGTTATCTGTCTGTCAATATAACAGGCTTAACGTTAAACCAACTTCGTTTCTTGTAAGAAAAGGCAAATCTACTTGAAGTTCACAGATCAGACAAAATCTGCATCTCCATGTCCCGTTATCTGACACCTCTACCTAGAATAATTAATTACTCTTCCGTTTTATCACAAATAATGCTTCTAAGTTAAAATTT